CCGCATCAACCACAGCCGGACAGCCGGCACGATTCCGGTCCAGTGGCGACGAGCCACCATCGTCCCAGTCCTGAAACCCGGTAATTCGCCGGCGCTAACGGAGTCATATCGACCCATCAGCCTTCCTTCCATCGTGGGTAAGGTCGCTGAGAAAATGGCATTGAGGAGACTGCTTTGGCTGTGGACGCCTCGTCCGCACCAGCATGCGTGCCGTAGTATGCGTACCACGACGATGCAGCTGGCACACCTGATACACGAAGTGGAGCATAACAGAACCGATTACTTCCAAGCGAACCCTCCCAAGAAGAGCGGTGTTGGAAGCCAGCTCCACTGCAGACCCCATCGGGCTCCGTTGGTGCTGGTAGACTCCAGCAAGGCCTTTGAGTTCACTGGCTATCGAGTCCTCAGTCGCTTGCCGGCCAATATTCCGGGGGTGAACTGCCGAAGGTGGCTTGGAAAATTTCTGCGTGGCCGCTACGCGAAGACACGAGTTGGCAACAGACACGGCGATCGGTCCTCCACGCTGCGAGGAGTTCCTCAGGGGTCCGTATTGGGAACACATTTTTGTTCTCCCTTTACGCACACCCACTTCTCAACCTGCTGAACGGCTTCTCAGGCGTCACAGCAGACATGCACGCGGATGATCTCTCCATTGTAATCAACGGCCGCTCTCGGGAAGACGCCATTCCTGCAGCCAACACGGTCCCCAAAAAACTGCACGCGCGGGGCCAGTAAAATGGCCTGGCCATCATCCCGTCAAGGTGCAAAGCCGCTTGGTTCACACTCTCCACGCACACGGAGTCAAACTATGATCGCAAAGGAAAGTGGTCCCTGGAAGTGACTGGATGTAAAATTCCAGTCATGACCATGGGGGCATCGCAAACTACGAAGCTTCTCGGCATGGATCTCGATCCGCAACTGACGCTAAATGTGGCGGCCGCCTCGCAACGGATATCGCAGCCACGCCGCATTGCGCACAAAGAGGCGGGGCCATCTCCACATGACCCACGCACGTTCATCATCGGATACGGTGCATCCAAATTGCGCTACGGCAGCGAGCTCATATGGGCAGTAGCGACGGATTCAGCGAAGAATGAGATGCAAGAGACGTACGCAGGTCTGGCACGCATTGTCAGCGGAGTTCCGAGCACTGTCGACCAGTAATCCGCACTCCTAGAAGCAAATATACCGCCGCTCCATGTCGTCCGCCTGCACGCGGCTCTCCATGTTTGATAACACACGCAATTGTCAGATTGACTGGGAGCGGAGATCAACGTCTGAGCCTTCGCCTCGCGCTGGTTTCCGCATCCCGCCGTTGTCTCGGCACGAGCTATATGCCTTCGTGGACGCATGCGCAAAGGGCTACGGCATCACCGAGGACTCACCACGCGAAGAGCGGTTCTTTCGCGGCTCCATTCCTCCCTGGTTTGCGGCCTCCGCTCACCGGGTCACAATCGGTGTGGAACTTCCGATAGACCACTCGATCACCGACGAAAAAGAACTGATAAGGGAAATGCGCAGAGTCCGCGAAGAGGCTCTAGCGCTGCACAGCCACCGCTCGTGGATACTCGCAACGGATGGCGATTTCGACGTTCCCACGCCAGCCTGCGTTGGCATACCGCCTTCATCCCTGCATTCCTCGCAGATAATAGGGAAAGTAAGTAACAACTGCGGCACACGCCCTTGAAGCTGCAGGACGGAATCCAGTGCGCTGCTCTTGGCCCTGCAAAGGCTGATTATCCCTCGGATCCACCACAGACGTAAAAACCCCGCTTGTGGCGACACAAAGCCAGTCTCTCCTAGCGGCCCTCAACAAGGACCGGATCTGGCAGCGTCTCTTGACACTGATGCGTGCCGGCCGGTCCGTGCACCGGCAGTTTTGTTACGGACATTGTGGAGTGCATGCTGACGAGCCTGCGGCTCAGCATGCGACGCAGACCATGGCAACCGGACAACACACGGAACATGGAATCGCGCCCGTATGGCACACGGACCCGCTGACATGCTTTACTGCCCAGCCCAGCAACAAGTGGCGTTGTACCATTCGCCAAGCCACTCACCGCTAATCGTTCTGTGGTGCCAGGAAGCGGTCTCCGCCACCGCAGGATCAGCCAACCTCCACAGGCGCGCCAGTTGACACGCAGGAAACCTTTCGCCATCTGCTCCTAGAATGCCCAGGCACCTCCGCTGCGCGCCAACGGCTGGGCATTCAGGAAGATCCACGCAGCGAAAAGTTCTCTCAGTGGCAGTTGCTTCACAGCAGGAAGCTTTTTCCGCTGCTCAACCGCCTCCTCGGCACCAGGATGGCATCGTGCGGCTAGACGCGTCGGTAAGAGTGGGAAAAAATAATAATGAGCATTCTCGCCACCATCGGGTCGTGGCGCACCTTGCGACCTCGCTGGTGACCCTCCTGCTCCACTGCTGCTTTGCGCAACAAGTCATCACAGTCATTTTCGTGGTTTGGTCGGCCTCGTGTTGCGCTCCGGGTTCTCCTCCTTCATCGTCTTGCGGTGTTTCCTTTGCCGTCCCTGGCACTGTGACTGTCCCGTGACGATTTTTTCCGAAGCCTCACTTCCCTGGGAGGTCCTCCCGCCACCAGCGTGCCCTCCGCCCAAAGACTCCGGTCCATTTGCACGCATCTGAGCGGCAGGGGCGCTGCCAGTGCCGGACGGATTGCAATTGTTACTTCGCAGTGGGTCGCTGCAGGATTGATCCTGCCTCGTCGGAGCAGTGAGTGGTCCTGCGGCGGTGGGATTGGGGCCCTCACCCGCCGTGTTTTCTCCACCCTCCTCGTCTTCCTGATTGCTGTCAACCTCAGAGTTCACGTTCCCCTTTCGTCCAGAGCCACCGGCCACGGTCCTCCTTCCGCAGCCATCACAGCCCGCGCGTGCTCAGCAGTCACCGCGCCATCACCAGCGGGCCGCACACACACACCGTCGCAGCAGCCGTCAAAAACACGCACGAGCTGTTGCACATCACTGCAGGAGCCAACAGGACGCAGAGCACACGGCCAGTCATCATCACAAACAGTGGAGTCGCCCAACGCTGTGGATCCGCCTGCAAAAGCACAGAAAACAAAAGGGGAGACACGGCCGCTACACCACGCACAGCCACCGCACAGTCACAAATGGCAGCAGCCCAGCAGCGGCAGCGCACACACACCATGAGGCAGTTGAAAGCAGTGAAAGGGCAAAAACACACAACGCCCCGCAGCAAGCAAACAGAAAAACACACAAAACAATTAGAAACAAAACACAGGTAAACGAACAGCAATGAAGTTAAAAATGTAAACACACACAAAACAAAGGGCTGCACAGCATGGCTCCAGCGCGCACGCACCCATCCTCAAATGTGACTCCACGCAATCAGTTGTGTGCGTGCCATGCACATGAGTGTGTCTGGGGTGCGTTCAACGTGACGGATGCGGGGAGCGGCAAGGAGCACACGGCAGGGCAGCGGAAGCAAGCGAAGCAAAACACAATCATTATTTTATCCTGTTTAGTACATCGGACCACAGTGGACGCACACAAGTCCCCGCAGTTGGGTGCTGGCACGCACAGCCCGCACACAATTCTTCAGCCCAGAGTGGTGTACGCCAGCGCGGATACGGCGAGCAGCAGCGGGGCACACACCCACGCAGAGCTGCTGAGGCTGCCGTCGCTTTCGCGAAGAAGTGACGGTGCGCGGGTGGTCGTTGTAGTTGGCGCCTCCGTAGTCGTAGTGGTGGTGGTAGTTGGTGCTTTTGTCGTAGTCGTGGTTGTTGTTGTTGGCGCATTTTCCTTCTGACTTTGTGCCGATACCGTACCAGTCGCCTCACTTGGTTGCTGTTCCTGTATTGGAATGGACTCCGGACCTTCGGTACCTGGAGTTTCTGGCACATCGGTTCCCGGATCTGATGCTTGTGATGTGGAATTTTCACGTGATTTCTGTCCAGTACTGGACCCACTTTGCGACCCTGCCCCATCGGTTCCTGAAACACCTGCTTCCTGTGGCCGAGGAGTCGGTAAACTGGAGCTGTCCTTATTTAGTTCTTCACCAGTTCCTGTCACGCACACGGACGGGCAGCAGCACAGAGCAAGCACCAACAGGGCGCACAGCAGACGGCACGTCATCATCGTGAGTGTGGTCGTTCAGTGGTGTGGAGCTGATCTGCACAGTGAGGGACATGGAGAGCAACAGGTAGACGAGAGGTGCGGCAGACACACACAGAGGGCAAACACACACATGAGGAGAGGGCAGCAGCCAGGCATGCACCGTACGCCGCACACCACGCACGACACACACTCCAATCCACGGCAACAGGCACGCACACACACACAACCCTGCCGCAACACCAACACACAGATGGAGGAGGGAGAAGCAAACAGGAGCGGCACACAAGGCTCCACCGCATGTACATACGGCGAGAGCGGTCCGTCGTGTCGGCACCCCTCACGGAGGGCACGCACACACAAGAATAGGTGCAGCGCACACAGCAACACAACAGCAAAGTAGCCATGAAAAAGAATAGATCCCCGCACACCACGTGGATTGTTGGTCCACGGGAAGCGCAGCCACCACCGCAGCAGCAGCAGCACACGCAAAGTCAAGCACAAGGAATGGAATAAAGCAGCCATTTATTTGTGTTTCTTTCTGGAGGGTGGAAGATGTCTGCGTATGTTGCTATTGTTTTTGCGGAGGGTAAACCTTCATGCCTGCATCGTGTGTTGGGGTTCCTGCAGTGTGCACAACTGTTTCCTTCTCTTGTGAATTCTTATTGTGTTGGTGCGGCCAATAATTCAATTTGTGTTGTTCCTGCTCTTCGCTGGTAAAGTGCTGCAATAGATGTTTTTATTTCCTCCTTCGTTGCTGTGGCACCTGATTCCTCGCCGTTTATTGCGGTGGAAATGAGAATATGTGAGTGGACTCCCACGCACCAGAACGCACCTTCGCTCCTATTTATTGCTGCACAGAAGGGCATGCGTGTTTGGTGGTGCCTCGACCATATATTTCGTGGGCGTACATTCCCCTGCAGGCTGAGGGCGGGGCGACGCTCCGTCGCGGTGCACTTCCCTCGCATGCCGCCCACTCTGATTCATCATGCATCACCCCTCACATACTCCGTGGTGCCACACCGTCGATATTATTGCAGCCGCTGTGATTCCGCGTATTTCACGCATTTGATTGTGCCACAATGCATCCGCTCGTGTGGCCGCCGCATCCAAACAGCGGTGCCCAACACCGTGAGCGGCAGTCCACATCCTTGCATGTCCCAGCGCAGTGGTGCTTGACTGTCAGCCAGGCGTCAGACAACACGAGAGTATTGTGCCGGCAGTACAACACACGGAGCTGCAGTGAATGACTCGGGCGGCGACGCATCTATTTGTCGCAAGGCAGTGAAAAGGAGTCGGGCAAAATAATACCGGCTGCATTCACGACACCATACCCACAGCCAAAGCATGCGACATGATGTGTGTTTCGCTGGTGCTGTGAAATGCCTGCAGACGACGTCACTAGTGGAGGCACACCACCCATGATCAGCGGACAGACAATAATCGGCATGGGAGGCCACAAAAGGCAGCAACGACGCCAGCAGCTATCTCTCTCTCTCTCTCTATCTGTTGCCTCCGAGAAGTAAATATTCCACCAGCCACAGCCGGCTGTGCCATCGTGACACTCCATGCACGTCGTGGCTGCGTCAACACATCCTGCTCCCTGCAGCGCCTCAAAAGATGCCTCACTCCGTCCACTAAGTGCATCGATGCGGGCCGTGCCCGGGCTGTTCATGAGGACCACAGCGATGTGAGGGTCACCGAGTCGCAGCATGTTTGTTGTGACGTTGTTGCATGGCACCGGCACACACACGCAGCGCCTGCATCCCTCCCTGTTGTGTTCGCCCTCCGCCGGAGTGGTCACACACACGGGCTGCAGCAAATTCATTTCACCCTCGACGATCCAAAATCAACACCGACATCCCTCGCCACGCAAAGATCTCAGTTGCCAGCACGGGCCTCCTGCCGCTCTGCCATCGACGCCGAAACACGGCACAGTGCACGCACTTATTTTCCTCGTGTGCAGTCAGCCGTTTGGTTCACACATTCTCCGATGGGCTGACGCCCACAAAAGCACGCCACAAAATGTGATCGCACAAGCTCTTGCGACGAGCGTCTGCGTGTGCATGGATCCGCTGCTCACACGTGCTGGCAGGCAGCCTGCAGCCGGTGCCCTCGTGCCAGTCCATCGGCTCCAGCATGGGAAAGAGAAAATGGCCAATTCCTCGTGCACTCATTCCCACCAGCAGCACCAACACGCTGGTCGCCAGCCGTCATTCCTCAGCACATCCAGGAATGCCGAAAAGTGACGTGGAGCTGTCAGCCAGCAATGCCATAATCCCGCACACATGTCGGCTCCACCAGAGAAGACACACAAACTACACACAACACCCCTCACATGTTTTCCGAACATCATTCCAACACACCGCGACACGCCAAACAGAAGTATTCGTCACTCCACGCACCTCCCCACACAATCAAATAGTCCATGCACCACGCACGGCAGCAGCTCACACCCGTCAAACAAGTGTTCCTCGTACCAGTGTTGTCCACGTGCTGCAGTGGGCTGCCCCGGCTGAGGCGAGCTACTGTCGGAAATATTGTTTGCGATCACTCACCCCAACGCAGCTGCGCAACCAGTGTTGGGCTCGACAGCACAGGCGCGGAAGTCCGCAGACCACAGCCAGCACTCGCCCAGCGCCAACGGTGTCGAACGCAGTCGAGATGCCGGTCGGGACTGCGAGAGAGCGGCGACGGCGACGGTGCAGCGCGGGACGCCGCCCTGCGACGCCCACACTCCACGGCGATGCGCTCGCTCAGCCCTCGTGCCGTTTTGTCACGAATAGGCGTCACCACGTCGGAGACCGTGCGTCGTGGCGTTAATCGAGGCTGAATTCGGTGGCGTGCCGGCAGCGCTGACAGGCGGCGGTGGACCACTCCCTCGCTCACCCCTAGCAGGACAGAGAGCAGCGGGAGGGGGCGACAACTCTCCGTGCGGCATGCGTTCTTCCCGTGTCTGCGGATGCGAGTAGTGTCCCCCGTTTCCCAGGAACTTCGCAGGCTGCCGTCAGCAAGGGAGGTGCCACTCATCGTTCTGAGCGAGCAGCAGGCTGCGGGTACAAGATGGCGCAGCAACGCATTCAATACACCGCCGGGGCCAGGGCCAAGACAAGCGAAGAGTCGCGAAAGGACAATTCAAGCGCATACAGCGCGAAGGGCCAAACCACATCCCGGTCACCAGGGGGCACGCAAGCACGAAGTGTGCAGACGGCAGTGGGGGTCGCAGCAGTGGGATTCAGACGATGCGACGGACGAGCGGGTTTCACTGCTGCCGGATTTCGTCGGCGCTTACCAGCGCTACACGTGTCGTCTGCGTGCCGTAAGTGACGCACAGAGGCAAAAGCTACTGCGAGGCGGAGACGTTGAGCGGAGCCCGAGCCCCATAGCAGCACTCCAGATGACCGTTCCCTCACTGACGCCGGCCAAACTCGCAACATTAATGGCGCAGGGAGCAGACATGATAGCCATCCGGGAGACCTGGAAGTCGGCGGAGCAGATCGCCAGCATGCATACTGGAGAGTATGTGCCCCATGCACAATCACGTATCCGCAAGGAATGTGTTGCAGCGGTGCTGGTGCGGAAAAACCTCCGCTCCAAGCGTATGACCCTCATCACTCCTCAACGTGATTCCAGCCTCGACGTGGTGGTCCAATTCGCGCTGGGCCAGAACCGTGATCTTATTGTAGCGAGCACCCATATGAGACCACCGCCGCAACCGACACAACCCCTAGGCGGTTGCTGAGCTGCCTCTCGGTCTCGTCGCCGCTCATTCCGTGTGGAGATTTCAGCGTGCGTCGCCCACGGTGGGAGCCCTTCCTGGAGACCCCTCCAAGCAACTCCGCTGTAGAATTTTATACAACCGCGCACGGATGCAGGACACACCTTGGTTAACACCCCTGGTGAAACAAAGCATGCTCGTGGTGCAAGAGAGAGATCCTGTATCGACCGGACATGGTCAAGGCATCTTACCGTGTCCGACTGGGCAGTCAACGTGCCGCCGCTCAGTGACCACTATGTGTTGACATTCACGCTGCATCAGGCATTTAAGGACACCATGCCCTCGGCACCCACTTCGGTGCGTCGAGTTTTCTACAGCTGGTGGAAGTCCAAGTGGGAGTCCTTCGCCAACGACCTCGACGCACAACTTCCAGCATGCGACCATAAAAAGCAATCAACCGGCATTAAAGCTTTTACGAGAGCACTTGCAGTTTCACTTCGACGGCATTGACCCCGCGGCATGCACAAGGATGATCCCAAGCTCCGGGGCGACACCCTTGCGAAGGCAGAGCGGATTGCCACCGACAGCAAGGGCCCGCTGTCTGCAGTTACCGACGCCCGACCGTGAAACAGAGACGCAACGGGCAAGGAGCCAATTCTTCCTCCTACTCCGTGAGCGCTCGCGCAGCAAATATCGGCGTCGCATCAGCAAGTTAAACCCAGGCAAACCACTCGCCTAAAAAATACATTCCGAACGTAAAAAGACATCAATTCCGTCTCCCACAACGGCGTTGATGTGCGATGGCCGCAAGAATAATTTCAGGACAGCAAGGAGAGCAGCGGATGCGCTCAATCTTGGATTCCTCCCCACCTCGCAAGGCGATTGGGTTTTCCAACGGGAAAAAACGGAGAAAACAAGTCCTTGTGTATTTCTTCTCCCTCCCCTTCTTAGGCCGCAGAACAACAACGAGTCGGCCGCCTCATCTTCGATAGGCTCCTTCTCTCCCCTCTCTCTGGATGCCTCTTTTAATCGTACGGAACTGCGTGCAGCGCTGCGCAGCACACCGTACGGCAAGGCCCCGGACCGGACGAAGTCTACAGCGGGGCGCTACCACATCTTTCGACGAAGTGTCTCCGACTCCCTCTCCGCCGCATCAACCACAGCCGGACAGCCGGCACGATTCCGGTCCAGTGGCGACGAGCCACCATCGTCCCAGTCCTGAAACCCGGTAATTCGCCGGCGCTAACGGAGTCATATCGACCCATCAGCCTTCCTTCCATCGTGGGTAAGGTTGCTGAGAAAATGGCATTGAGGAGACTGCTATGGCTGTGGACGCCTCGCCCACACCAGCATGCGTGCCGTAGTATGCGTACCACGACGATGCAGCTGGAACACCTCATACATGAAGTGGAGCATAACAGAACCGATTACTTCCAAGCGAACCCTCCCAAGAAGAGCGGTGCTGGAAGCCAGCTCCACTGCAGACCCCATCGGACTCCGTTGGTGCTGGTAGACTCCAGCAAGGCCTTTGAGTTCACTGGCTATCGAGTCCTCAGTCGCTTGCCGGCCAATATTCCGGGGGTGAACTGCCGAAGGTGACTTGGAAAATTTCTGCGTGGCCGCTACGCGAAGACACGAGTTGGCAACAGACACGGCGATCGGTCTTCCACGCTGCGAGGAGTTCCTCAGGGGTCCGTATTGGGAACACATGTTTCTTCTCCCTTTACGCACACCCACTTCTCAATCTGCTGAACGGCTTTGCGGGTGTCACAGCAGACATGCACGCGGACGACCTCTCCATTGTAATCAACGGCCACTCTCGGGAAGACACCATTCCTGCAGCCAACACGGTCCTCAAAAAACTGCACGCGCGGGGCCAGTAAAGTGGCCTGGCCATCATCCCGTCAAGGTGCAAAGCCGCTTGGTTCACACTCTCCACGCACACGGAGTCAAACTATGATCGCAAAGGAAAGCGGCCGCTGGTAGTGGCTGGATGTAAAATTCCAGTCATGACCATGGGGGCATCGCGAACTGCGAAGCTTCTCGGCATGGATCTCGATCCACGACTGACGCTAAATGTGGCGGCCGCCTCGCAACGGATATCGCAGCCACGCCGCATTGCGCACAAAGAGGCGGGGCCATCTCCACATGACCCACGCACGTTCATCATCGGATACGGCGCATCCAAATTGCGCTACGGCAGCGAGCTCATATGGGCAGTAGCGACGGATTCAGCGAAGAATGAGATGCAAGAGACGTACGCAGGTCTGGCACGCATTGTCAGCGGAGTTCCGAGCACTCTCGACCAGTAATCCGCACTCCTAGAAGCAAATATACCGCCGCTCCACGTCGTCCGCCTGCACGCGGCTCTCCATGTTTGATAACACACGCAATTGTCAGATTGACTGGGAGCGGAGATCAACGTCTGAGCCTTCGCCTCGCGCCGGTTTCCGCATCCCGCCATTACCTCGGCACGAGCCATATGCCTTCGTAGACGCATGCGCAAAGGGCTACGGCATCACCGAGGACTCACCACGCGAAGAGCGGTTCTTTCGTGGCTCCACTCCTCCCTGGTCTGCGGCCTCCGCTCACCGGGTCACAATCGGTGTGGAACTTCCGATAGACCACTCAATCACCGACGAAAAAGAACTGATAAGGGAAATGCGCAGAGTCCGTAAAGAGGCTCTAGCGCTGCACAGCCACCGCTCGTGGATACTCGCAACGGATGGCGATTTCGACGTTCCCACGCCAGCCTGCGTTGGTATACCGCCTTCGTCCCTGCATTCCTCGCAGATAATAGAGAAAGTAAGTAACAACTGCGGCACACGCCCTTGAAGCTGCAGGACGGAATCCAGTGCGCTGCTCCTGGCCCTGGAGTGGCTGATTATCCCTCGGATCCACCACAGAAGTAAAAACCCCGCTTGTGGCGACACAAAGCCAGTCTCTCCTGGCGGCCCTCAACAAGGACCGGACCTGGCAGCGTCTCTTGACACTGATGCGTGCCGGCCGGTCCGTGCACCGGCAGTTTTGTTACGGACATTGTGGAGTGCATGCTAATGAGCCTGCGGCTCAGCATGCGACGCAGACCATGACAACCAGACAACACACGGAACATGGAATCGCGCCCGTATGGCACACGGAGCCGCTGACATGCTTTACTGCCCAGCCCAGCAACAAGTGGCGTCGTACCATTCGCCAAGCCACTCACCGCTACTCGCTCTGTGGTGCCAGGAAGCGGTCGCTGCCACTGCAGGATCAGCCAACCTCCACAGGCACGCCAGTTGACACGCAGGAAACCTTCCGCCATCTGCTCCTAGAATGCCCAGGCACCTCCGCTGCGCGCCAACGGCGGGACATTCAGGAAGATCCACGCAGCGAAAAGTTCTCTCAATGGCAGTCGCTTCATAGCAGGAAGCCTTTTCCGCTGCTCAACCGCCTCCTCGGCACCCAGATGGCATCGTGCGGCTAGACGCGCTGGTAAGAGTAGGGAAAAAGTAATAATGAGCATTCTCGCCACCATCGGGTCGTGGCGCACCTTGCGACCTCGCTGGTGACCCTCCTGCTCCACTGCTGCTTTGCGCAACAAGTCATCACAGTCATTTTCGTGGTTTGGTCGGCCTCGTGTTGCGCTCCGGGTTCTCCTCCTTCATCGTCTTGCGGTGTTTCCTTTGCCGTCCCTGGCACTGTGACTGTCCCGTGACGGTTTTTTCCGAAGCCTCACTTCCCTGGGAGGTCCTCCCGCCACCAGCGTGCCCTCCGCCCAAAGACTCCGGTCCATTTGCACGCATCTGAGCGGCAGAGGCGCTGCCAGTGCCGGACGGATTGCAATTGTTACTTCGCAGTGGGTCGCTGCAGGATTGATCCTGCCTCGTCGGAGCAGTGAGTGGTCCTGCGGCGGTGGGATTGGGGCCCTCACCCGCCGTGTTTTCTCCACCCTCCTCGTCTTCCTGATTGCTGTCAACCTCAGAGTTCACGTTCCCCTTTCGTCCAGAGCCACCGGCCACGGTCCTCCTTCCGCAGCCATCACAGCCCGCGCGTGCTCAGCAGTCACCGCGCCATCACCAGCGGGCCGCACACACACACCGTCGCAGCAGCCGTCAAAAACACGCACGAGCTGTTGCACATCACTGCAGGAGCCAACAGGACGCAGAGCACACGGCCAGTCATCATCACAAACAGTGGAGTCGCCCGAACGCTGTGGATCCGCCTGCAAAAGCACAGAAAACAAAAGAAAAGGCCCGGCCGCTACACCACGCACAGCCACCGCACAGTCACAAATGGCAGCAGCCCAGCAGCGGCAGCGCACACACACCATGAGGCAGTTGAAAGCAGTGAAAGGGCAAAAACACAAAACGCCCCGCAGCAAGCAAGCAGAAAAACACACAAAACAATTAGAAACAAAACACAGGTAAACAAACAGCAATGAAGTTAAAAATGTAAACACACACAAAACAAAGGGCTGCACAGCATGGCTCCAGCACGCACGCACCCATCCTCAAATGCGACTCCACGCAATCAGTTGTGTGCGTGCCATGCACATGAGTGTGTCTGGGGTGCGTTCAACGTGACGGATGCGGGGAGCGGCAAGGAGCACACAGCAGGGCAGCGGAAGCAAGTGAAGCAAAACACAATCATTATTTTATCCTGTTTAGCACATCGGACCACAGTGGACGCACACAAGTCCCCGCAGTTGGGTGATGGCACGCACAGCCCACACAGAATTCTCAGCCCAGAGTGGTGTACGCCAGCGCGAATACGGCGAGCAGCAGCGGGGCACACACCCACGCAGAGCTGCTGAGGCTGCCGTCGCTTTCGCGAAGAAGTGACGGTGCGCGGGTCGTCGTCGTGCTTGGCGTCTCCGTAGTCGTGGTACTTGGTGCCTCTGGCGCAGTGGTCGTCGTAGTGGTTGTCGTAGTTGGCGCATTTGCCTTTTGAATTTGTTGGACTGGGTTAGCGGATACACTTGGTTGCTGTTCTGTAATATGCCCCGGAGATGTTGGATCGGGACTCGCTGACGGAGCCGAACCCGTGCCTGTCTCTTGTACGATATCGGTCGTCGTGCCTGAATTCGGGTCCTTACCGTCCGGATTTTTTGACCCTACCGCTCCATTTTCATCTGGATTTTGTGCAGTACCGTTCCCGGAACTTAATCCTTGTGACGTTTGGCTCCCACTTCCTGTGTGTTCTTTACTGGACGTACTTTGCGACGCTGAGCCACCTGACGTGCCTTGACCACCTGCTCCCTGTGACTGAGGGGACGTTGAAACGTTGGCCGCTTTTTGATTGCCACTACTCGCTGTCGCGCCCACGGACGGGCAGCAGCACAGGGTGAGCACCAACAGGGCGCACAGCAGACGGCACGTCATCATCGTGAGTGTGGTCGTTCAGTGGTGTGGAGCTGATCTGCACAGTGAGGGACATGGAGAGCAACAGGGGAGACGAGAGGTGCGGCAGACACACACAGAGGGCAAACACACACAAGAGGAGAGGGCAGCAGCCAGGCATGCACCGTACGCCGCACACCACGCACGACACACACTCCAATCCACGGCAACAGGCACGCACACACACACACAGCCCTGCCGCAACACCAACACACAGATGGAGAGGGAGAAGCAAACAGGAGCGGCACACAAGGCTCCACCGCATGTACATACGGCGAGAGCGGTCCGTCGCGTCTGCACCCCTCACGGAGGGCACGCACACACGAGAATAGGTGCAGCGCACACAGCAACACAACAGCAAAGTAGCCATGAAAAAGAATAGATCCCCGCACACCACGTGGATTGTTGGTCCACGGGAAGCGCAGCCACCACCGCAGCAACAGCAGCACACGCAAAGTCAAGCGCAAGGAATGGAATAAAGCAGCCATTTATTTGTTTCTTTTTGGAGGGTGGAGGATGTCTGCATATGTTGTTATTGTTTTTGCGGAGGGTAAACTTTCATGCCTGCATCGTGTGTTGGGGTTCCTGCGGTGTGCACAACTGTTTCCTTCTCTTGTGAATTTTTATTGTGTTGGTGCAGCCAATAATTCAATTTGCGTTGTTCCTGCTTTTCGCTGGTAAAGTGCTGCAATAGATGTTTTTATTTCCTCCTTCGTTGCTGTGGCACCTGATTCCTCACCGTTTATTGCGGTGGAAATGGGAATATGTGAGTGGACTCCCACGCACCAGAGCGCACCTTCGCTCCTATTTATTGCTGCACAGAAGGGCATGCGTGTTTGGTGGTGCCTCGACCATATATTTTGTGGGCGTACATTCCCCTGCAGGCTGAGGGCGGGGCGACGCTCCGTCGCGGTGCACTTCCCTCGCATGCCGCCCACTCTGATTCATCATGCATCACCCCTCACACATATTCCGTGGTGCCACACCGCCGATATTATTGCAGCCGCTGTGATTCCGCGTATTTCACGCATTTCATTGTGCCACAATACATCCGCTCGTGTGGCCGCCGCATCCAAACAGCGGTGCCCAACACCGTGAGCGGCAGTCCACATCCCTGCATGTCCCAGCGCAGTGGTGCTTGACTGTCAGCCAGGCGCCAGACAACACGAGAGTATTGTGCCGGCAGTACAACACACGGAGCTGCAGCGAATGACTCGGGCGGCGACGCATCTATTTGTCGCAAGGCAGTGAAAAGGAGTCGGGCAAAATAATGCCGGCTGCATTCACGACACCACATCCACAGCCAAAGCATGCGACATGATGTGCGTTTCACTGGTGCTGTGAAATGCCTGCAGACGACGTCACTAGTGGAGGCACACCACCCATGATCAGCGGACAGACAATAATCGGCATGGGAGGCCACAAAAGGCAGCAACGACGCCAGCTCTCTCTCTCTCTCTGTTGCCTCCGAGAAGTAAATATTCCACCAGCCACAGCTGACTGTGCCATCGTGACACTCCATGCACGTCGTGGCTGCGTCAACACATCCTGCTCCCTGCTGCGCCTCAAAAGATGCCTCACTCCGTCCACTAAGTGCATCGATGTGGGCCGTGCCCGGGCTGTGCGTGAGGACCACAGCGATGTGAGGGTCACCGAGTCGCAGCATGTTTGTTGTGACGTTGTTGCATGGCACCCGCACACACACACGCAGCGCCTGCATCCCTCCCTGTTGTGTTCGCCCTCCGCCGGAGTGGCCACACACACGGGCAGCAGCAAATTCATTTCACTCTCGACGATCCAAAATCAACACCGACATCCCTCGCCACGCAAAGATCTTAGTTGCCAGCACGGACCTCCTGCCGCTCTGCCATCGACGCCGAAACACGGCACAGTGCACGCACTTATTTTCCTCGTGTTCCGTCAGCCGTTTGGTTCACACATTCTTCGTTGGGCTGACGCCCAAAAAAGCACGCCACAAAAGCCACTGTCATCACACAAGCTCTTGCGATGAGCGTCTGTGTGTGCATGGATCCGCTGCTCACACGTGCTGGCAGGCAGCCTGCAGCCGGTGCCCTCGTGCCAGTTCATCGGCTCCAGCATGGGAAAGAGAAAACGGCCAATTCCTCGTGCACTCATTCCCACCAGCAGCACCAACACGCTGGTCGCCTGCCGTCATTCCTCAGCACATCCAGGAATGCTGAAAAGTGACGTGGAACTGCCGGCCAGCAATGCCACAATCCCCGCACACACGTCGGCTCCACCAGAGAAGACACACAAACTACACACAACACCCCTCACATGTTTTCCGAACATCATTCCAACACACCGCGACACGCCAAACAGAAGTATTCGTCACTCCATGCACCTCCCCACACAATCAAATAGTCCACGCACCACGCACGGCAGCAGCTCACACCCGTATAAACGAATGTTCCTCGTACCAGTGTTATCCGCGTGCTGCGGTGGGCTGCCCCGGCTGAGGCGAGCTACTGTCGGAAATATTGTTTGCGATCACTCACCCCAACGCAGCTGCGCAACCAGTGTTGGGCTCGACAGCACAGGCGCGGGAGCCCGCAGACCACAGCCAGCACTCGCCCATCGTCAACGGTGTCGAACGCAGTCGAGATGCCGGTCGTGACTGCGAGAGAGCGGCGACGGCGACGGTGCAGCGCGGGACGCCGCCCCTGCGACGCCCACACTCCACGGCGATGCGCTCGCTCAGCCCTCGTGCCGTTTTGTCACGGACAGGCGTCACCACGTCGGAGACCGTGCGTCGTGGCGTTAATCGAGGCTGACGGCGGTGGCGTGCCAGCAGCGCTGACAGGCGGCGGTGGACCAGTCCCTCGCTCACCCCTAGCAGCACAGAGAGCAGCGGGAGGGCCGACAACTCCCCGTGCGGCATGCGTTCTTCCCGTGTCTGCGGATGCGAGTAGTGTCCCCCGTTTCCCAGGAACTTCGCAGGCTGCCGTCAGCAAGGGAGGTGCTACTCATCGTTCTGAGCGAGAAGCGGGCTGCGGGTACAAGATAGCGCAGCAACGCATTCAATACACCGCCGGGGCCAGGGGCCAAGACAAGCGAAGAGTCGCGAAAGGACAATTCAAGCGCACACAGCGCGAAGGGCCAAACCACATCCCGGCCACCAGGGGGCACGCAAGCACGAAGTGTGCAGACGGCAGTGGGGATCGCGGCAAGTGGGATTCAGACGATGCGACGGACGAGCGGGTTTCACTGCTGCCGGATTTCGTCGGCGCTTACCAGCGCTACACGTGTCGTCTGCGTGCCGTAAGTGACGCACAGAGGCAAAAGCTACTGCGAGGCGGAGACGTTGAGCGGAGCCCGAGCCCCATAGCAGCACTCCAGATGACCGTTCCCTCACTGACGCCGGCCAAACTCGCAACATTAATGGCGCAGGGAGCAGACATGATAGCCATCCGGGAGACCTGGAAGTCGTCGGAGCAGATCGCCAGCATGCATACTGGAGAGTGTGTGCTCCACGCACAATCACGTATCCGCAAGGAATGTGTTGCAGCGGTGCTGGTGCGGAAAAACCTCCGCTCCAAGCGTATGCCCCTCATCACTCCTCAACGTGATTCCAGCCTCGACGTGGTGGTGGTCCAATTCGCGCTGGGCCAGAACCGTGATCTTATTGTGGCGAGCACCTATATGAGGCCACCGCCGCAACCGACACAACCCCTAGGCGGTTGCTGAGCTGCCTCTCGGTCTCGTCGCCGCTCATTCCGTGTGGAGATTTCAACGTGCGTCGCCCACGGTGGGAGCCCTTCCTGGAGACCCCTCCAAGCAACTCCGCTGTAGAATTTTATACAACCGCGCACGGATGCAGGACGCACCTTGGTTAACACCCCTGGTGAGACAAAGTGTGCTCGTGGTGCAAGAGAGAGATCCTGTATCGACCGGACATGGTCAAGGCATCTTACCGTGTCCGACTGGACAGCCAACGTGCCGCCGCTCAGTGACCACTATGTGTTGACATTCACGCTGCATCAGGCATTTAAGGACACCATGCCCTCGGCACCCACTTCGGTACGTCGAGTTTTCTACAGCTGGTGGAAGTCCAAGTGGGAGTCCTTCGCCAACGACCTCGACGCACAACTTCCAGCATGCGACCATAAAAAGCAATCAACCGGCATCAAAGCTTTTACGAGAGCACTTGCGGTTTCACTTCGACGGCATTGACCCCGCGGCATGCACAAGGATGATCCCAAGCTCCGGGGCGACACCCTTGCGAAGGCAGAGCGGATTGCCACCGACAGCAAGGCCCGCTGTCTGCAGTTACCGACGCCCGACCGTGAAGCAGAGACGCAACGGGCAAGGAGCCAATTCTTCCTCCTACTCCGTGAGCGCTCGCGCAGCAAATATCGGCGTCGCATCAGCAAGTTAAACCCAGGCAAACCACTCGCCTAAAAAATACATTCCGGACGTAAAAAGACATCAATTCCGTCTCCCACAACGGCGTTGATGTACGATGGCCGCAAGAATAATTTCGGGACAGCAAGGAGAGCAGCGGATGCGCTCAATCTTGGATTCCTCCCCACCTCGCAAGGCGATTGGGTTTTCCAAAGGGAAAAAACGGAGAAAACAAGTCCTTGTGTATTTCTTCTCCCTCCCCTTCTTAGGCCGCAGAACAACAACGAGTCGGCCGCCTCATCTTCGATAGGTTCCTTCTCTCCCCTCTCTCTGGATGCCTCTTTTAATCGTACGGAACTGCGTGCAGCGCTGCGCAGCACACCGTACGGCAAGGTCCCGGACCGGACGAAGTCTACAGCGGGGCGCTACCACATCTTTCGACGAAGTGTCTCCGATTCCCTCTCCGCTGCATCAACCACAGCCGGACAGCCGGCACGATTCCGGTCCAGTGGCGACGAGCCGCCATCGTCCCAGTCCTGAAACCCGGTAATTCGCCGGCGCTAACGGAGTCATACCGACCCATCAGCCTTTCCTCCATCGTGGGTAAGGTTGCTGAGAAA